CACCTTTCATGTAATGTTAAAGATTGATGAGCATTAATTAGAACAAAGTGAATATTAAGGAAACAAACATGACACCTAATTTGTGCTAGCAACAACCTGCAAACAATGATGGGAGTAATCTGAATTTGGATGAGAGAGTGCAGTTATAATACCCAGTTATACCCAGTTATAACATGGTGGTTGGGGTGGAGTCCAATAAATCCCACTGAACGCTATAGAAGGCCACAATTGACTGTCAGCCTATATCCCATTCAATGCACATGCACACAGAAACACAGCTCACATCAAAATGCTAGCTTTGTTTTATTACAAAAGGAAATTTTCACTGAAGGACAAAAAAATTACAATTGGGAAAGATATAATGCTCTAGAAATAAGGAAACAGAATTAACAATTTATATTATAGAAGCAAATTTGGTAGCCAAACAGTGCCAATAATGTCCCCAAAACAAAAATAAAACAAATAGTCAATTTAAATTGGGTAAAGAAACACCAATTCTTGTATGTGATATAATGTCTTGTGTTGAGAAGTCTCATTTCAGAGTTTTTCTGTAAATTAGTGACTATGTCGGTAAATGTAGCAGGAAATTTGTCATGGGATCTTTAATGTCCACCAGATGAGATTGGGACTTACTGTCTGATCCAAATTCTATAGCTATTTTTTCACTATAGGAAGGTCATAGCAGATGCTGCATCTTTTCTTACAAGCGAATGTAACCCCTATTGATGTTTCACAAAAAAAATCAGTTTCCAAGTCCTTAAGCAGTTTTGTTGATATCCTATTTCCTTTCCTAAATTCATAGGTGAAATTAGGTAACCGAGTTACAAGGGAGTGTGGGTATTGGTAACATTCATACTGGAGAATGGAAGACTCAGGAGCAAACATTTAAGCACAATAAACCCAGGATAACTTGACACTTCATGGGTAAAGAGCTCAGCCACAAGTTATCAAAGTCTCAGGCCACAAGGGAGTGCTGTGACCAGTGTGGGGGATCGGCAAAGGTTCATTGTGCACGCTCAGATGTATCGCACAAGTTTCTGGTCTACTGGAGGATTGCACAGTGGTCCATGATAAACATGATCACGCACTTTCAAAAAAAAATGTTAAAGAGGGAAAGTGAACACCTTAGATTTACCTAATTTACTGAGTCACCCAGACAGCTATGTGAAGCTTTTTGAGATTGTTTCCCGACATGAAAGGCATTAAATAAATATAAATATTAATTTTACAGAATGCTGAGAGTGTGTAGAGTGGATGACAAGTTTTGCGAACAAACAGGTGGCAGACAACTTTTTGGTCTCTGGAATGCCACCCTGCGTGAAGGGCTCCATATAAATGCATGTTGTTCTTGTTTGGTATACAAACTGATTCAAGGATAGGAGATAGAATAGTATATGATTCTACTCTCACAGAACGATCATACTGAGCTTTCCAGGCACATATGAATGTGAAGCAGTAAACTCTACAGTAGGGAAACTATTCAAAAATTGTGTCTACATAGCAGACTACCCAAGTAGGACCTTTTTGAGATGTCTTTCAGTTCACCAGGAGCCCGAAGTGCTGCTATGCTGTGTCCCTCACAAGACTGACAAGATCAACAAGAAAAATACCAATAAATCTTCTGTAGATGCTGCTTGGTAGAAAATATCTGAGACACTTCAGGTAGCCAAGGCTGGCTTGGAACAGGGAAGAGATATATCAGATAACAGACATGCAGCCTTGAACCTGTTTGAGCCTCTGCACCTCAGGCTCTGGCAGCATCAACCTCCATGGTTGCACACTTCAACTCACCAGCCAGTCAGGAACCCGGGTGTCTTGTTCGACCCTCAACTGTCTTTTCTTCCCCACATCCAAGCCATGACCCGCTCTGCCTTCCCTCACCTCCATAACATCGCCCGACTCCACCACTACCTCACCCCTCAGGCCGCTGAAACTCTTGTTCATGCCTTCATCACCTCCAGGCTCGACTATGCAAACGCCCTGCGTGTCGGCCTTCCCAACTCCTCCCTCCACAGGCTGCAGATAATCCAGAACTAACTCTGCAGCCCGTGTCCTCTCCCGCACCAAACTCCGTGATCCATCTGCCCCACTCTCGCCCGACTCCATTGGCTCCCTATCCTTCAGAGGATCCAGTTCAAGATCCTGATCCTCACCTACAAGGTCCTCCATGGCCTCGCCCCACCCTACCTCTGTGAGCTCCTAGCCCTCTACCAACCTGCCCACTCCCTCCGCTCAGACGATACCGGCCTGCTCCACGTCCCCCGACCCACCCGCCCCACCATTGGCGGGAGAGCCTTCAGCCACTCTGCCCCCAACCTCTTGAATTCCATCCCCAAGTCACTCCGCCTCGCCCCCTCCCTAGCCTCCTTCAAGTCCCGCCTCAAAATCCTCCTCTTCGACCATGCCATCAGTCACCCCCCTTCCCCTCCCCTTCCTTCTCCTCCTCTGACCCCAGCTCGGGTCGGAAATGCTATACTCTGTTCAGCACCTTGGGATGTCCTCCTGATGTGAAAGGTGCTATACACAAATGTAATCTCGTCGTTGTTGGTGGTTTTTTATGATGGCTACATGAAAATGGGGAGACATGAATTGCACACTGAAGAGCGGGTCATGGCTTGGAAGTGGGGAAGAAAAGACAGTTGAGGATCGAACAAGACACCTAGGTTCCTGACTGGCTGGTGAGTTGAAGTGTGCAACCATGGAGGTTGATGCTGCCAGAGCCTGAGGTGCAGAGGCTCGAACAGGTTCAAGGCTGCATGTCTGTTATCTGATATATGTGCAAAACAGAAAAGACAGGACCCCGGACTGATGGTCATAATGTCTTTTCGCAGAACGTGATTTTCATATTTTCTAGATAGTTTGGTTGAATCACAATACAATTATATAGGGAGGACATCCCAAAACACAAATGTAAAGTAGCGTATTTGGTGCTCTAAAGATTTAATTTCAGCATGATTTCTTTGTCAGAATCAAATTGACCCAATCAATTGTGGCCCAACTCAATAGTTTAGATGTATTACTTTTGTTTATTTGTCTTCATCAATTATTTTTTTAAAGCTCATATATTCATTTTCATTGGTTTAGGGAACAGAATACTTCTGAAACAAGCCAAACCATCAATCGCCACAACATCCTCCTCAGGAAGACAATATTTATGTAATGCAGAATACCTGAATGCACACATTTCCTATGTAGCACTTTGAGAAGACCCAACAACAAGATCAGGCACTATTTCAAATGCAAAATAAGAAAGTTATTTATGTCTTATTCAATTTATTAAGAAAAACTTCAAAATCTTTTGGACTAACAGATCCTTCAAGCAATTCATCATACACCAGTAAACTTTTGTGAGCAATGAAACTGGAGTGCAGAAGCACATTGTAATAAACTACCTCCTATAATTTTGCCACAGCCTAAGGTACCTGCAAATTTTATGATAGGCTTAAAACATTTAAAATAAATAATTTTATAAAATTACATCTCACTTAAAAATTAACGTAACATGATTGTTTTATTGTCGATATAAAACTTGCTTCAAATAACCATCAAATATAAAGCATGCATTATCTCTGATAATCAATGAATTTAAGTCGCATTAAACAGGTTTTGTTCACCCAGAATCAATTTCTGTAATGGCCCAAAAAGCTACAAAAAACAAAAATTGGTCCAAAAAATTACACTGAGAAATTGAAAAGGGGGCTAAAACTTACCCATATTTCAGAATGCTTATTTGACCATTACAACATCCTACTGATCCTTTATCCCTTTACACCATTCATTTGAAAACCCCTTCATCCCAATTAAACCCTACTTTGCAACATTGACATTCAGTAATATGTAAACATAAATATTCCTTTTTGGATTTCAGAGATATTGAACCTATTGAACAGAATCAATATCCAAAGCCAACAATTTAGCAACATTTCCCCCATTCCTAAAATGAAAGTGCTAGCCCTATTACACTCACTGAGATTCCTAATCAATGTGAAACTGTTTTGGCTTTAAAAAAAACTGAAGGTTTGAAAAAGGTCCAATTAATAAAGACTCAAAGATTAAAAAGCCTCAACAAGACTAGATAAGAGTTCAGAAAATAACTAACACCATAGAATAGCGGTTATGTAGAACAGACTTCCAACAATACAAGTTGATCCTCCAAGAAAATTGATATTCTTTAATAAATGGATAAATCTGCTGGAGAACATATTAGCAAATACAGGGCTGAGACACATAATACTTAGAATACACTGATTCTTTGCTGTTGTGGAGGGAAAGAGACTAGGTTTAAATATTGGAGAATGGTCAATATTCGAGTTTTTCCGCAATTCCCTTTAGATTCCAGGGAACATCTGCTCAGAATTTTCACCTAAAAGAAGAAAATGGATGGGCGAAGCCGCGATGGGGTAATCTTTGTGAAATGAAGGGCTGGGTGGCTGAATGGTAGTGACTGCTCGTCACTAACTTGTTAAATGTACAATTCAGCAACACACAATGTAATCAAATGCAAAGATTATTATTATAACACACAGTGTGTCTGACTGCCACTAATGCTAATTCCCACCGGAGCCTTCTCCGCAGGGCCTCGGCCCGGACAAGGCCGTTTGAGCTGTGCGGAGGCCCAGTGCAGACAAACGCGCGCTCTCAACAAAAGCGACGTTAATCTGTTGTATTTAAACCAGACATTGGCCACAGATTAAACCCAAAATAAAACACACAATCCGGAGTGCAGTCGCGGCCCCACTTTCCACCCGAGCGCCTTCAGGCCTAAAGCGAGACCAAAGCCGCGTCAAATATTCACAGCCTCCACCTCACCAACGGCTCACCGCCCGCTCCAACCCCTCCCCACCTCCAGAACAGAACAGCCGAGTCCTCACACCGTCCGTTTGTGCCCGAGTGAGTGTGGCGCCGCGCGGCCCTCTAACTCCGCGAGTCCCGAGGGTGGCCCTGAGCTCGGGCCTAGTGTCCGCCTCGGGGCTCTGCCCCACGCGCGCGGCGTTACTCACTGTCGACTGATGGCCGTCACACGCGCTGCTCCATCACTGGCATCGGCTCGGAGCGGGACACCGCGCGGCTATCCTTACCCGCGGCTACTGGGGCTGCGGGACTACAGGGGACACAACCCGAACACCAGCCTTAGCAGCAGCCGAGCCATCACCACCACACAGCCGCCATTATACAGCAGCACCGTGACCTCCAGGGCTCCTCCTGCACCGGCAGCGGCTCCCACAGCGCCGCTTCTGGCGCCTCGAGGCACATCCACCCACCGCCTGTACACTGACTGCCCCCCACTCCACTCCACTCACTCCGCCCTCTGGCCAAGTGGAGCACATCAGTCATAAAAATAATTGACAACATGTTTAAAGTGGATCAATGCTGAATATATTTCTCACATACTTCATCTCCACAAACGGCTTCTCCTCGAGCCCCCACACCGTCTCGTGCGGTGTTCCTCAGGGCTCTGTCCTTGGTCCCCTCCTTCAATAGCTACATGCTCCCTCTTGGTGACATCATCAGCAGACATGCGGATGATGTCCAACTTTATCTCTCTGCCTCCATCCTCAAATCCAGGACTACTGCTGCCCTGACAGAATGTCTGTCAGACATCAAGTCCCGGGTGAGAGCTAACTTTCTACAGTTGAACATCAATAAGACTGAGGCCCTCCTGATTGGCGACCGTCAGCGCCTCCACATCCCAGGCCTGAAAACATCACCAACCAGGGATGCACACTCCACCTCACTGAGCCAGTCCAGAACCTTGGAGTCTTGTTTGACCCTCAACTGTCCTTTCTACCCCACATCCATGCCATGACCTGCTCTGCCTTCCCCCTACCTCCGCAATATCGCCCAGTTCCGCCACTGCCTCACACCTCAGGCTGCCGAAACTCTCATCCACGCATTCATCCGATTTAGGTTTGACTACGCCAACTCCCTGCTTGTCGGCCTTCCCAACACTTCCCTCCACAAGCTGCAGATCTCCAGAACTCTGCAGCTCGTGTCCTCTCTCGTACCTGGCTCCGTGACCAAATCACCCCCACCCTCGCCCAGCTCAACTGGCTTCCCATCCCCCAGAGGATAGAATTCAAAATCCTCATCCTTCCTTCAAAACCCTCCATGGCCTTGTTCCTTCCTACCTCTGCAACCTACTGATCCCATATCGACCTGTCCACTCCCTCAACACAGTAGGCTGTGGCCTGCTCCATGTCCCCGGCCAGCCCCACCATCATCAGTCAAGCCTTCAGCCTTTCTGCCCGCACCCTTTGGAACTTCATCCCACATTCTCTTCGCCCTGCTCCCTCCCTTGTCTCCTTCAAGATGCGTCTCAAAATCCTCCTCTTCAACTGAGCCTTCGGCCATCCTTCCCAATCCCGCCCCCCAGCTCAGGTACAAATCCCTGATTGTCCAGAGCCTTGGGACATCCTCTCGATGTGAAAGGAGCTATACAAATGTAATTTTGTATTGTATTTCAGCCACAAAATACACAAGTCAATCCACTTTTCGCTTTGTGGTGTGCTTTGAGACAACAAAAACAACAAAATTACATGTATATAGCGCCTTTCACGTCGGGAGGCGTACCAAGGCACTGGACAGAGTATAACATTTCAGACCCGAGCTGGGGTTGAGGGGGGAAGGGAGTGGAGGGGAAGGGGGGTGGCCGATGGTATGGTCGAAGAGAAGGATCTTGAGGCGGGACTTGCAGGAGGCTAAGGAGGGGGCGAGGCGGAGTGACTGCGGTATGGAATTCCAGAGGTTGGGGGCAGAGTGGCTGAAGGCTCTCCCGCCAATGGTGGGGCGGGGATGTGGAGCAGCCAGAGCGGCTGAGCGGAGGGAACAGGTGGATTGGTATGGGGAAGGAGGTCGCAGAGGTAGGGTGGGGCGAGGCCATAGAGGGCTTTGTATGTGCTTCACACATCTTGAACTGGATCCTCTGAAGGACAGGGAGCCAATGGAGTCGGGCGAGAGTGGAGGGGATGGGGTCATGGATTTTGGTGCGGGAGAGGACATGGGCTGCAGAGTTCTGGATTATCTGCAGCCTGTGGAGGGAGGAGTTGGGAAGGCCGACACGCAGGGCGTTTGCATAGTCGAGCCTGGAGGTGATGAAGGCATGAACAAGAGTTTCAGCGGCCTGAGGGGAGAGGTAGTGGTGGAGTCGGGCGATGTTACGGAGGTGAGGGGAGGCAGAGCGGGTCATGGCTTGGATGTGGGAAAGAAAAGACAGCTGGGGTCGAACAAGACACCCAGGTTCCTGACTGACTTGGTGAGTTGAAGTGTGCAAACGTGGAGGTTGATGTTGCCAGAGCCTGAGGTGCAGAGGCACTGGCGCGAGCCAATCGGGAGGGCCTCAGTCTTGTTCACATTCAACTGTAGGAAATCTGCCCTCATCCAGGACTTGATGTCCGACAGGCAGTCTGTCAGGACAGCAGTGGTCCTGGAGTTGACGGTGGAGGCAGAAAGATAGAGTTGGGTGTCATCCGCATACATATGGAAGTTGACCCCATGTCTGCGGGTGATGTCACCAAGGGGGAGCATGGAGATATTAAAGAGGAGAGGGCCAAGGACAGAGCCCTGGGGGATGCCAGATGGGACAGTGCGAGGGCTGGAGGAGAAACTGTTAGAGGCAACAATGTGGAGACAGTGAGAGAGATAGGAATCGAACCAGGCAAGGGCAGATCCGTGAAGATTGAGTAGACCGGAGAGGCGGTGAATGAGGATGGAGTGGTCGACAGTGTCGAAGGTGGCAGAGAGGTCGAGGAGGACAAGGGAGCCCTGATCACAGATGTTCACAATGTCATTAGTGACTTTGACCAGGGCTGTTTCTGTGCTGTGGGCAGCGCGGAAGCCGGATTGGAGGGGTTCAAAGAGGGAATGTCGAGAGAGAAACGAGCGGAGAACAAAAAAAGAGAAAGTTGAGACATCACAACAATGTGATAAAATGCTATATCAAATGCAAGGATTATTATCATTATATATGGAAGATATTCTAATTCTTTGTAACATGAAGTGAAGAATGGCAGTTCAGGTCATCTGGTACCAAATCTTAAAAAAAACTTTTTAACTGTATATAATTATAAAACTTCTAGTGTTTTTCAAAGATATAAAACATTTTAGAATCAAATAATATTGTTGAACCATTCTTTGCTTCCTGAAACTGTTATATAAAATTTCATTGAGTACAGTAATAAATTAGTGTGGTCCAACATGGGCCGCATCTGACCTGGGCTGCCCTGCCCCAGACCATTGCCAACATTCCGACTTCCGCTCCCTCCTCTCTCTCCCTGCCTCTCTCTCTCTCTCTCCCTGCCCCTCTCTCTCCCTGCCTCCCTCCCTGCCTCTCTCTCTCTCTCTCCCTCCCTGCCTCTCTCTCTCCCTGCCTCTCTCTCTCTTCCTCCCGGCCCCCCTCCCTGCCTCTCTCTCTCCCTGCCTCTCTCTCTCTCCCTCCCTGCCCCCCTCCCTGCCTCTCTCTCTCTCTCCCTCCCTGCCTCTCTCTCTCCCTCCCTGTCTCTCTCTCTCTCTCTCTCTCCCCCTGCCTCTCTCTCTCTCTCTCCCCCTGCCTCTCTCTCTCCCTGCCTCTCTCCCTCCCTGCCTCTCTCTCTCTCCCTCCCTGTCTCTCTTTCTCTCTCTCCCTGCCTCTCCCTCTCTCTCTCCCTGCCTCTCTCTCTCCCTGCCTCTCTCTCTCCCTGCCTGCCTCTCTCTCTCTCCCTGCCTCTCTCTCTCCATGCCTCTCTCTCTCTCTCCCTGCCTCTCTCTCTCTCTCCCTGCCTCTCTCTCTCTCTCCCTGCCTGCCTCTCTCTCTCTCTCTCTCTCTCCATGCCTCTCTCTCTCTCCCTGCCTCTCTCTCTCTCTCTCTCCCTGCTCTCTCTCTCTCTCCCTGCTTCTCTCCCTCTCTCTCTCCCTGCCTCTCTCTCTCCCTGCCTCTCTCTCTCCCTGCCTCTCTCTCTCTCTCCCTGCCTCTCTCTCTCCTGCCTCTCTCCTCTCTCTCCCCTCTCTCTCTCTCTCCCTGCCTCTCTCTCTCTCTCCCTGCCTGCCTCTCTCTCTCTCTCTCTCTCCATGCCTCTCTCTCTCTCCCTGCCTCTCTCTCTCTCTCTCTCTCCCTGCCTCTCTCTCTCTCTCCCTGCTTCTCTCCCTCTCTCTCTCCCTGCCTCTCTCTCTCTCTCTCTGCCTCTCTCTCTCTCTCTCTCCCTGCCTCTCTCTCTCCCTGCCTGCCTCTCTCTCTCTCTCTCCATGCCTCTCTCTCTCTCTCCATGCCTCTCTCTCTCTCCCTGCCTCTCTCTCTCTCTCCCTGCCTCTCTCCCTCCCTGCCTCTCTCTCTCTCTCTCCCTGCTTCTCTCCCTCTCTCTCTCCCTCCTCTCTCTCTCCTCTCTCTCCCTGCCTCTCTCCCTCTCTCTCTCCTCCCTCTCTTCCCCCCTCTCTCCCTTCCTCTCTCTCTCTCTCTCCCTCCTCTCTCTCTCCCTCCTCTCTCTCTCTCTCTCTCCCTCCCTCCTCTCTCTCTCCCTCCCTCTCTCTCTCCCTCCCTCCCCCTCTCTCCCCCCCTCTCTCTCCCCCCTCCCCGCTGATCGTCCCCCCATGGCAGCGGGGAGGCGGGGTCGGGAGGATGCTGTATGTATGGAGAGTGTAAATATTACTAACCTCGTCCTCAGCAAACCCCGAGTCCTGGTACTGCAGATAGTGATGGCCCTGCGGCTGATTGGGAGAGGGAGGGCTGAGGGGGGAGAGGGGAGAGAGGAAAGGGGAGTGAGACAGAGAGAGAAACTTTGAGAGAGAGCAGAGAGATTGAGAAAGTGTGAGAGGGGGAGTGAGAAAAAGAGTGTGAGGAGGGAGTGAATGTGAGGAAGAAACAGAGAAACAGTGGGAGATTGAGGGAGAGTTTGATAGAGGAATAGAGAGGGTACGTGTGGGAGAGAGGGGGAGCGAGAGAGTCATTGAGAGTGTGTGTGTGACAGAGAGTCCGCCCTCTCCCCCTCTGTCCCCTTCCTTTCCGCCTCTCTATCCCAATTAACCGCGCGGTTCACTGCCTCCCTCCCTCCCTCCCTCCCCCCCCTCCCTGAGGCAGACAGACAGACAGTGAGGGAGGGAGGGACGGAGGGAGGGAGGGAGGGAGGACTGAGGTGGTAAGAGACGCGCTTGGCTTCCTGACAGATTGTAGTAATGGTGGTATTATTTCCGCTTTCTGCGCTGCATCCTCCCACCCGACGGCTCTATGCCACTGCCCTGGGAGTGGGTGGGAGGGAATGGGTAGGAGAGAGGGGAGTGGGTGGGTGAGAGGGAGGGAGGGAGTTGGAAATGGTCTCGGGCTGATGGCGGCCAGAGGACCTTTCTCAGATAGGGATCCAGCCTGAAGCAGCGAGAGCTCGGCCCACCCTGACTTATACAGCAGTGTGATGTGTAAATTCATTGTTTTGAAATGTTGTAGTTTATTGTGTCTCACAGAGTCTCAGAGATAACATGCAGTATTTATCATGATAATTGCAACTGAGACTTTCTCCTAAGAGATTATGATTATGTGTAGTACCCATAATAAATGTTACTGGTAAGAGTAGAGAGGAGTGGCAAAAAAGTAACTTATTATCAGGATTGTCTGGTTTAGTTTTGTTATAACAGGTGATCTGCACTTTCAGTAAACTCTTAAGTAATCTGTAGATACCTTCTTTAACACTTGGAATGTTGTATTGCTTCAGCATGTATTCCATAAAATATATAGTTATAGTAGAGCCTCACTAATCCAGTCCCTGAGGTGACCGGCAAAAGTGACCTGCTTAATGAGGTAACTAATTACTGAAACAGGTCCGGTGATCAGGTCACTGATGTAACATTAAGGGCATTGGCAATGCGCAAGGTTGATAACCATTCAACAACCATACTTTGCAATCTCATTAAAATAAAGTCAATGTCACATTTAAAACAAAAGCTGTCATGTATTCAGCCCACCCTTTGAGAATGCATCCAACTTGTGTTCTGTCAATGCCATAGATCACAGATAACTGTCCATGACTTTTGCCCTCACTGTTTTTGATTAAGTCCACTCTCTCACATAAGGAAAACTCCTTCCATGGTGTCATGTTTACAACACTTGTCAACAGTCACTAAATCAAAACATTGTGCACACAAACCATGTGCTCTGAATATTCCTAAGGGAAGAATTGGTTGTAGGAGCTCAGGTTAGGCTGTGGGCACCAGGCGAAGTAGATTTTTCGCTTGTGCCGCTTCCCAACACTCCACGCACCACGCATGTGCGACTGGAGCCCATTCCGCCCTCAGTAGCAGAGTCAAGAAAACAGCACAAGAAGCCCGCGGCTTAGCGCACCTTCTACAGTTTAGTAGCTGAGAGGGGTGTTTGTACAGCGTTTGAAGTGGAGTGGGGTGGGGGGCCTTTTAGGGGCCGCAATCATTGACTGTTGTCCTGAATAGTCAGGTACTCGATTAACTGAAGCAGACAGCCTATCTTTTAACATTGACAATGAAAGAGACTATGAAAATGTGCCCAAAATTGTGAGGTGGCTCGATTATTGATGTGACTGCCAACCGGGTTTCTACTGTATTAGAAATGCCAAACTTTCCTCCAGGAATATTGTTCAACGATTAAAGAGTAAACATACACCCCTCTGCTGAAACTGTGCCTCTCATCTTCGTACATTCATAGAATTTTATTGCTACCTTCTTTACGGGAATGATCTCTGGTATAAATAAATATGCTCCTCTTTGTTCTTGGTATCATCTACTAGTAGTTCCTGAAATAAAGGGAGGCTGGGAGAAGTAACAATAACAATAATAATTCTTGCATTTGATTTAGCACTTTATCACATCTTCCAGACTTCTCAAAGTGCTTCACAGAATATACTGAAAAGTGAATTGACTGTATATTTTGAGGGCTCAAAGCGGCAGCCATTTCACAAATTAGAAAAAAAAGTTGAAAAAACTATTTTAAATAATGACTTACTTTCTCCCTTCATTGATATTGAGAAGACAAATTGATTATAAGCGCTCTGGAAAGCTACCCCGGATAAAGGGTGCTATATAAACGCAAGGTGTTGTTATTTAATTTTCTTCACCTGAACAGCCTTCAGATGAAAATATATAAAACCACAAATTCTTTGCTAGTGTTCTAGAATGTGGGTTTGTAGTCATAGAATCATAGAATATTACAGCACAGACGGAGGCCATTTGGCCCATCGTGCCTGCTTTTTGGAAGAGCTACCCTCATTCATTCCCATTCCCCCGCTCTTTCTCCATATTCTTACAAATTTTTCCTTTTCAAATATCTATCCAATTCCCTTTAGAAAGTTGTTATTGAATCTGTTTCCACTACCCTTTCAGGCTGTACATTCCAGACCGTAACAACTCTGTGTAAAAAAAAATTCTATTCCTCTATTTATAAAGCTAAGTATCCCATTGGCTTTTTTAACAGCTCTATCAACCCAAACCTCTTTGTTCATGCGTTCATTGACTGCCGATTAAACTTTTCAAATGCCCTTTGCCGGTCTCCCCAGCTCCAACATACACGGAATCCAACTGATCCAAAACTCTGTCGCCCGCATACTCACTTGTGCTAAACTCCGTACCCCCATCATACCAGTTCTAGCCAAGCTCCACTGGCTCTGCATCACCAAACAATTCAATTTCAAGATCCTCACATTCGTTTTGAAATCCCTTCCGCATATCCCCAGTGCCCTCCGTTCTGTCAATCATTATGCCCCGAAGCTCTGGAAGACTCTTCCTCTATCCCTCCTCCTTGACCTTCCTTCCTTCCCCATTTTCGGGTCACACCTGAAGATCTTCCAATTTGTGTGCCTACGGGCACCTCCCCCTCCCCCAGTCCAGAGTCGTGCACCGCTATGGTCAAGCTCTCTGAGACCCTACCCTGCATGAGGAGGCCTATATAAATGCAAAAAGTTGTTGTATAATCTGTAAAGCATTTCGAGACTTCTTGAAGATGTGATAAAGCGCTACATGGAATGCAAGATTATTAATTACAATAATTATACATAGTTTTTTGAATTCTTAGAATTAAGTAGTGTTATATAGGTTCAATGTTTCCATAAATTTCTGGAAAATAATCTGATTTTTGGCATGCAATTATTTTTCAAATATTTTTGGCTCTACCAACTTTATTACACATTTCTATCCTTTTGCATTTTAGATCTTGAACACACACACACTGACTGACACACACACACACTGACTGACACACACACACACTGACACACACACACACACTGACACACACTGACTGACTGACACACACTGACTGACACACACACACTGACAGACTGACTGACACACACACACACTGACACACACACACACACTGACACACACACACACTGACTGACACACACACACACTGACAGACTGACACACACACTGACAGACTGACACACACACACACTGACAGACTGACACACACACACACTGACTGACACACACACACACACACTGACTGACACACACACACTGACTGACACACACACACTGACTGACACACACACTGACTGACACACACACTGACTGACACACACACACACACACTGACTGACACACACACACACTGACTGACACACACACACACTGACTGACACACACACACTGACTGACACACACACACTGACTGACACACACTGACTGACACACGCACACACACACTGACACACACACACACTGACACACACTGACTGACACACACACACTGACTGACACACACTGACTGACACACACTGACTGACACACACACACACTGACTGACACACACACACACTGACACACACACACACTGACACACACACACACTGACTGACACACACACACTGACACACACTGACTGACACACACACACACTGACTGACACACGCACACACACACTGACACACACACACACTGACTGACACACACACACACACACACACTGACTGACACACACACACTGACTGACACACACACACACACACTGACACACACACACACTGACACACACACACACACTGACTGACACACACACACTGACTGACACAGACACACACACACAGACACACACACACACTGACTGACACACACACACTGACTGACACACACTGACTGACACACACACACACTGACTGACACACACACACTGACTGACACACGCACACTGACTGACACACACACACACTGACACACGCACACACACACTGACACACACACACACTGACACACACACACACTGACTGACACACACACACTGACTGACACACACTGACTGACACACACACACACTGACTGACACACGCACACACACACTGACACACACACACACTGACTGACACACACACACACACACACACTGACTGACACACACACACTGACTGACACACACACACACACACTGACTGACACACACACACACTGACTGACACACACACACTGACTGACACACACACACACACACTGACTGACACACACACACACAGACTGACACACACACTGACACACACTGACTGACACACACACACACAGACTGACACACACACACTGACACACACACTGACCGCGCTCTCTGCTCCTGTGCGGGAACCGCGGCGATCACGTGCCCCGTGAATGGTGAGCGCGAGACAGTGGCAGTTGGTCGGAAGCCTTTTGAACTGAGCGCGCGGAGCGGAGGCGCCCGGACTGCGCGCGCAGTTCTCTGCAGCGGCTCCGGCCAGAGGCGGTCGAGGCGGCTCGTGGGGTGTGAGTGTGAACTAATAGTGAGCAGATGTGCCGGTGACTGACGGCATCCGGCAGGAGGGGAGGCTCTTTGTCACCGTATCTTGAACCCTTACAGTTGGGGGAGAGTTTTTGTTTGTTTGTGAGGAGTGTGTAAGAAGCTCGCGGTTGGGGGGGTTTCTCGGGCCGGCGGCGGCGGCGCCATTATACCCCCTTCCCGCCCCCTCCCTCCCTCCCTCCCCGCGTCCTCACCCCAGAGAGTTGACGCCGCAGCACGTGTGCACATTCATTGGAACTTGTGCCAGTTATAGTTGCTCACGACTGTGCACTCGCGTTGGCCTTGAAGAAGGGTCACGACTGGCTATAAGGTCGGTGTGTAGGTGGTAGTGCACAACGCTTCACAGAAAGTGAACAGCATGCGAGTATCCTCCCCTCCACCCGCCATAATTGTTTTGATGAAGAGATAAATAAGATATTTTCTTTGTAGATGAAAATACAGGAAAAGGAGGTCTGGAAGAATTAATTAGTTTCAAATTTGATTTTTCTCATCACAACTATTGTAGAAGTGAGAAGATATTATTGCTTCTAACTAGATGATGCTTTCTTCTGAGGCCACACCAGAACCACCCCAGTCTCCATCTCATCATCCTGGACCATCAGAACTAACACCAACCACTTGTACCTCTGAGTGTCCCTTCACAGAACCTGGACTAAACTTTACTAACTCTGACCTTAGCCTTGTGGACATGAGCGAGGTTGAGTACACACAACTGCAACACATTCTTTATTCTCACATGGAGTCCCAGACAGGGGAAGGTGAGCTGGAGACCCGGTTAAACCCAGCTTTGTATCAGTCTTCCAATTCTTCTAATGCGGCTTCTTATCCAACAGCCAATTCTGCAAACCAGACTCCTTACTCAGCAGCTAACTCTACAAACCAGAATCTTTACTCAGTTACCAGTACTGCAAACCCAACCTCAGACTCTCAATGTTTAGGACACATTGATTTCCAAGAGTTGAAAATGATGCTTCTGAATGATCCTCCATTGCCTGTAAATAACGTAAATAGTTTGCAAAACATGGAAAAATTCTCGCAAAATTCTTCCACTGAAACAAACCGACTTAATGGTCTCAAATTGAAAAGTAGGGATATAGCAAGTAGTTCAGACAAGGAGAAGAATCCAGGGGAAAAGTCATTGACAAGCCAAGAAGCAAGGTGTAAAACTGGACCCAGAGTGCGTCTCGAGGACAGATTTAATGCAGTTCAAAATGAAAACCAGGAACGTCAAGAGACACAGGATTCTGGAGTCACATTTAACAAGTGTGTTTCTGAACTAATTAACAATGTACATGGAAAGCAAAGAATAGTTAAAAAGTAAATTTACTGTTACCTGTCCGTAATGATTATCTGAGATAAAGCTTCCAGTGATCTGTCAATACTGATTCAAAATTGGACTAAATTAGTCAGAAGGAGCCTCTAACTAATTATAGACAGGTAACCTATAAGGTTAACCTTTAAGGAAAGGTTAACTATAAGGCTTTTTGGTGCAGTATTTAGATAGGCTTAATGATCTTACAATACAATACAAAATTATATTGTATAGCGCCTTTCAGGTCAGGAGGACATCCCAAGGCGCTGGACAGTCAGGAATTTGGACCCTAGCTTGGGGATCAGGGAGGTTAGGAGGGGGACCAAAGGCTCGGTTGAAGAGGAGGGTTTTGAGACACGCCTTGAAGGAGGCAAGGGAGGGAGCAAAGCGAAGAGAATGTGGGATTGGAGTTCCAAAGGGTGGGGGCAGAAAGGCTGAAGGCCCAACCGCCAATGCTGGGGCAGGCCAAGCAGGGGGTCGTGGAGAAGGCCACAGCCTGATAAGGGGAGGGGGCGGACATGGATATGGAGTCAGCAGTCGCTGAGGTAGGGAGGAACAAGGCTGTGGAGGGTTTTGAATGTGAGGATGAGGATTTGAACTCTATCCTCTGGGGTATGGGGAGCCAGTGAAATCGGGCGAAGGTTGGGGTGATGGGATCACGGAGCCTGGTTGGGAGAGTTCTGGATGATCTGCAGCTTGTGGAGGGAAGAGTTGGGAAGGTCGACAAGCAGGGAGTTGGTGTAGTTGAGCTTAGATATGATGAATGCGTGGATGAGGAAATCGGCGGCGGAGTTTTTGGAGGCAGTGCTAGAGTTGGGCGATATTGCGGAGGTGGGGGAAGTCCGAGCAGGTCATGGCATGGATGTGGGGTAGAAAGGACAGTTGTGGGCCAAACAAGGTTCCAAATTGGCTCAGTGAGGTGAATGAAGTGTGCATCCCTGGATGGTGATCCTGTCATTACCTGAGGTGTGGAGCTTTTTGTAGATACAGATCACATCAGACCTTATCATCTATTTTGTTGACTACTCTGCTTTTCCAGGAAGCATAATCCTTTCAAAAAAATTAGACAATGTGTGTGCACGTATTTCATAGCTTTCATTGAATAGGGGTAAACCACATGGTCCAGGTGTGATATTACATTTAAGCAATTTGTAAACTTAGCAGGTTTTATCCACTCTTAATACTGATGTACCGCTGGTGTTGTGTCCTCATCCAAGAATACCCATTTTAGTTCCTGTTTCCAGAATAACATATTCATTTACTTTTAAAATTAGAACAGTAAATGAGAACCTAATTCAAATTTATTAGAGTAGGCACATAAGGCACATAGGCACATGTCTCTTGTTAAAATATATTTTTTTTAAATATAAGCTGAAAGTTGTGTTGACTAGATTAAATATATATTTCACAAAAGTTAATAAAAAAATTATATGCCTATTGTTTGGACCAAAGATATAATAATAATAATCCTTGCATTTGATATGGCTCTTTTCATGTCTTCTAGACATCTCAAAGCGCTTAAAGATATAGACAGATTGGAGTAATAATTTCTGGTATGAAGTATTTGCTATATAAAAGAGCTTCTGTACATATAGATTCTGTCAATGAAAATTATCCATGTTAAGAGAGTAGCACAGAACAAGAATAACTGTACCATAACAAGTTTGAAAATATTTTCATACTACTTTTCAGTTATAATCCAATTGACAGAATACCAATCCCATGCTAATGTCCTGTTACCCTTATTTGTTATCAGATTTGCACTCAACACTTGACTTGAAACACAGGTTTGAGAGGACAATGCTAATGAATACTTTTGGGGCCACTCCATACTATCCTATTTTTTAAAAAAGTAAATATTTTGTTGTATTAAACCTGGGGGTAACAAAACTTGTATTTTTATTTACAAATGAAATATGGTGAATTTTACACTGCAATTATGAAAAATAAGTAAACTAAAATACCAAGGTATGAACCAAATAGGACTGTTTATGCTTAACTTTGTGTTTTATTCTGTAGTCTGGTTGCTCTTATCCATCATCCTTCAGAACTGATGGGGATCCCTCTCCATCCACAGCAAAGCAAATGCACCACTTTAGTCAAGAGCAAGACTGGGACGTCCTCCACTTTGCAGTTTGCGTACCCCTTGTACACGTCAAATACATGTGTACCAGCTGGTAGTACCAGTGCTAATCAAACACAGGTAACAAAGTTGGCTGTCTCTGCTAAATTTATAAGTTAAAAAATAATGTAATCTACTTCAATTTTGTAGAAAATAGACTGCTTAACAGTAAAACATTAATCACAGTATAATTTGTCATGCTGGGCCCAGGACATCCATTGGATCACTTTGTGTTTGGCTCAGTCAGCAGCGATCTTATTTCTAGGTCAGAAGGATGTGGATAGAAGTCTCACAGCTAATAGTCCAGGCTGCTACTCCAGTGCAGCACTAGGGGATTCCTTCAGGTGAGACTTCATATCAAGATCCTATCTGCCTGTTCTGGTAGATGTTGAAGACTCCATAACACTATTTGAAGAGAGGCAGTTTCTTCCGGTGCCCTCACCAACAATCCTACAAATATATTGGTCATTAACTTCATAGTTGTTTATGGGACTTTGCAAAATAGTTGCTGCATTTCATCACACACACACATGCAGCCACTGGACCAATGGCGGCAAACCTTTTTGGTGACCCCCTTCTGCGACATCAGTCATGGATTAAGGTGACCAATTACCATCGTTTTTTGGAAAGAATTATTACCTCCGGAAAATTAAGTGTCCCCATTGTAGAGGAAGAATGAATGGATTAATTGGATGTAGAGTGAAGTATTGTCTTAGTCTTATTGTTCAATAAAGACTAAATTGGACTTGTTTCTCATAGTTGTTTAATCTTCAGTGCAGCTCCCTTAGTAGTATTGCAGAGGGAAACCCAAGACATTAATATAATAAAGTGAAGAAAAGAGAATGTGATGAACAGAAAATTAAAGTTTATAATACAAAAGATGAGAAATTTCAGATACAAGTGAATAGATTAGAATATAATCTGTCTCTTCATAATTGCTGACCTTAATCTAGGTAACAAGAAATAGACATGATCCTTATGATGTAAATAGTGCTACTGTCTTGACTTTTCTCACAAATCCTGTATCAATTTATCTTCCTGTCAAATGACCTAAAAAAGAGACAGCCAGTAAGTCAAGAGCAGGTTTAAAATAAGAATTAAGTTCAAGTTGAATATATGATTGATGCTTAGGATTGTGTTAAATAAATAATACAATCTGAAAATTTAAGTTTTGTACATAAAGCACTAAAGGGCAGAATTCTCTGCTCATTCTGTCAATTGGCGAGAATAACTCCCTAAGAATTTCTAATTATTTGAACTTCAGGATTCTGTTACAGGCTTCTGCGGTGCACTGTAGTGCACTGTACTAGTCACGGATGCAACTAGCCACTTGTTTAAAATTAAGAAACACTTAATTGGCTGCTTTACTTGGCTCTTACAGGGTACAGGAAACATGACACATGTACTGGAGTCTGCTAGCACTCAGGAGCTCACCCTGCCTAGAGCATTCTCTTTATGTTTTCAACAGGAACTTCAATCAGCCAGGCAGGCACTGAGTAATTGTAACAGAAACAAACAGTTATCTGATCAAGTCTGGATTAAAGAAGAAGGTAATAATTTTAAACCTCCAAAACTTCAAACTTGGTAGTCTTGTCAAAATGTGAGTACAGTTTGAGATTCTGTTGGTCATAAACATTTAAGAAAAAATCATTTTTTTGCAAGTTTTCATTGAATAAAATTTGAATAAATTATAGTGCTAAGCTATTGCTACAGGTTTAAGCAAAAGCAATGAATAACAATCTTCTAGGGATATCATGGATTCTGCTCTACTGATAGGAGTAAAAAGGTCATCAATGTATAAAAACAAAGGTATTGTATATCCTGGCTATTCTTAGCAATATTTCTATAAAAATTCTACAAGGGGAGGATTTGCTTAATTTTAGTAATTTTATAAACAGACAGTAATGAGATACACTGACATTCTGTTTTACTAAGATAGTATATTTGCATATGTACACGACAGTTTTGATTTCATGGGATGAGAAATATAAAAAATTAAATTCAAAAGTAGTTGAAATTTTAGCTATCAAACAGTATAGCTTATTTTCTTTGGAAAATAAGTAATCTACAATAACAACAACTTGGATTTATATAGTGCCCTCCAACCCGGACGGCGTCTCAGAGCGCTTCACAGTAAGGAATCCTGGGGCCCAGCCAGGGAGAGGGGGAGGAAGGCACGGTCGAAAAGAAAGGTCTTCAGAAGGGACGTGAAAGTAGGAAGAGAGGGGGCGAGGCGAAGGGAGTGAGGAAGGGAATTCCAGAGCCTCGGGGCATAGTGGCTGAAGGCACGGCCGCTGAGGGTGGAGCGGAGGACTCGGGGGACGAGGAGGAGGCCAGACCCGGAGGAACAAAGGCAACGGGCACTGTTTTGAGGAAAGAGGAGGTCAGAGAGGTCGGAGGATGCAGAGGAGTGGAGGGGTTTGAATGCAAAGGTGAGGATCTTGAAATCGATCCTCTCTGGGACAGGCAGCCAGTGCAGTCTGGTAAGGACTGGGGGGGAGCAGGGAGCGGAGTTTGTTGCGGGTGAGAATGCGGGCGGCAGAGTTTTGGATGAATCTAAAAGAAGGTTAAGTATGAAATGCACAATTTTTTTTTGCCTTTCTAGATGAAACTTTGCGCAAACACGTAGCAAACAAACGCTGCCGCAGTCGTTCACGGCAAGTTTCTGTAGAAACAGAACACAAAGTCCTTGGTGATCTGACGAATATGGCAGAGAATCAGAATGCAAATGTGCCACAAAGTGGTCAGTGGCAAACAACGCATCCAACTCCCCCTGGCCCTACACATGGCAACCAACAGGAACTGAACTGCCAGCGCAGAGAGAGGCATAATCGAATGGAGAGAGACCGCAGGTGAGCTATCAATATGGCAGTAAGGGTGGCAATTTTACATCTATAAATTTACATCTACACGCAATTTAAGTTAGAATCCTCGCAACAAGGTGCCTTAAAATACCCAGGTATCAATGACAGAAATTTCTCTCGAACATGCTGATTTGAATCCCTATTTTTCTGCACAAATTTTATTTTACTTATAATTTGAATCCTGTACCATATATTTCAAAATTGAGCAAAGATTCACTGCAAGTGTCATGTTATGAATTTATGGAATTCACTACCCCAGAAGGCTGTAGATGTCAGTCCTTGAACATCTTCAAGGCTGAGACTGAGAGAGGGATTAGGGGATATGGGGAGAGGGCAGGTAATTAGAGTTCGGTCAGAAGATCAGCCATGATCTTATCGAATGGCGGGGCAGGGCTCGAGTGGCCGAATGGCCGACTCCTGCTCCTAATTCTTATGTTCTTATGTTCTTATAGTAAAGGAGATCCTTTACAATTCAGACTAGATTTGATTCAGATCATGATGCGAATTAACATGACACTTGCAGTGAATCTTTGCTCAATTTTGAAATATATGGTACAGGATTCAAATTATAAGTAAAATAAAATTTGTGCAGAAAAATAGGGATTCAAATCAGCATGTTCGAGATAAATTTCTGTCATTGATACCTGGGTATTTTAAGGCACCTTGTTGCGAGGATTCTAACTTAAATTGTGTGTAGATGTAAATTTATAGGACTCGTGTAAATTAGGTAAACAACATAGATGAGAAAATAGGCTGTGTATTTAATGTTAACATATTGATTGGAACAGCCCTGTTAAACCTTCTGGCGCTCTGCTGATGGTCTCTGGTCACAATTTTTAATTTCTTTTGCACATCTGCATACATACTGCATATCACGTAGTTGTGCAAGTCAAACGCTAATTGATAAGCAATGTTTTTTCATGCTGTGTGACAGGTGTAATGGAGTAGGCAGTCACACATTCAGCGTATAAAGATCAACCCCAATAGAACATGCCCCGGTTGAGCATAGTTTTTACAGAGTTGGGCCTGCATGTGGCAGTGCAATACACCCAGTTTCTGGCGTGAATTATGCAGTTTCCCGGGCTATAAAATGGCCATCTTCTATTGTGCACAGGAAGCACCACTAAACATCACTTTGTCTCCCGCCCAACCCGTCCTACCATCGGTGGCCGGCCTTTCAGCCTCTCTGCTCCCACACTCTGGAACTCCATCCCACGTCCCGTTGCCTCGCTTCCTCCCTCGCCTCCTTCAAGGCCGGTCTCAAGTTCCTTCTCTTCGACCGTGCCTTTAGTCTCCCTGCGACCTCTCTGCCTTCCTTCACCCCTACACCACCCCTCCCCCATGCTCGGGCCCTGTCACTTGACTGTTCAGCGCTTTGGGACGTCCTCCCGCGTGAAAGGCGCTCTATAAATGTAATTTTGTTGTTGTTGCTTGTGTAGCATGTGACATCATCGGGGCTTTCTGTGCATGACACACATTCACACAATCTGATGACCCAATTTGCTTAGAACTTTAATAATACAGCAATAAGAACCGGTTTTGGGAATAAAACAGGTAGAAGGTAAGATTGAATGTTGGAAATCTGCAACAGATCAATTAACACCTGAAACGGAAAGATATTTGGAGAATAAAGCCAAAGGCTGGACTGAAGAATTATATTGTGCGCGAAACAAATCTTTGTTATGTAGGATTTTTTTTACAGAAAGTGTCACAGTTAATATTCGAGATTACATTTACATATATTTCCAGGCGTAGAATCCGTATTTGCTGTGATGAGCTGAATTACCTTGTTCCATTCTGCAATTCTGAGACAGATAAAGCTACTACCTTACAGTGGACCACAGCCTTCCTGAAGTATATTCAAGAAAAGCATGGTGAAACACTAAAAAAGGTCAGTTATTTATTTCAATTCTTCCTGTCTTTACCTCCTTCCTTGCATTTTGTGTCAACCTGGCTCAGTTGCCTCTCCACTAGAATTATATCGAAAAGTGCTATGTAAATTTGTTGTTAAATCACAGATAATCTTGTGAAGGAAGCAGTAGACAAATTAATATTCTTTATCTTCAAGGAATTTGAGAGTGTTTTCTGTGGAAAAACTGGCAGACGATTGAAACAAGCAAGAGTAGAAGCAGCAGGAGATCACTCAGTAACTGCCAGCCTACACAATCATGGTGTGGTGGAAAGTAAATGAACACCAACAGAGAAAAGTTACAATGCTGAGAAAGGGACACAGCTAGACGAATCTGTCAGATGCGTTATATCCAAACTCAGTTTCAGAAATGGAGAACTATCTGAGCACAGGACCATAAGACCTGGGCCTTCCCACTGTAGTGTTATTGTCTCTGACATTATTCACACCTCAAAACTTCCCCCCAAATCAAAGGTTGTAGCAGAAAATGTGAGCCCACTTTCTCCACTGCAGTTTTTGCCATATAGATGATAGTGTCATTCCCCCCACCCCCAAAAAAACACGGGAAAACCATGGTGCTTCCATCAACTATGGCTTTATTTGTAATTTAGTTTCCTTTCAAACCAATTTATTTTGGGGAAGGCACTCCTCCAATTTCAGTGTTTCTCCTTTGGTTGAGACCAATCAGTGTGCCCAGATGGGAAAGTCAGTCAAACACGGCCCTCGGTTGGGAGTTACTGTTGTAGCTATTTGTCAGCCCCATGTAAATGCTTTTAAACATAGTAAAATACAGGGTGACCAAAAAGTCATGATACCATTTATTTTAATAATTACTTTAATTTTTCAACATTTCTTCAACACTTATTAGACATTGTAATGGTATGACGACTTATTGGTCACCCTGTATATTGTACAAATCGTAGGAGACTCACATTGTTCTTCCCTTTTTTGATGATTTGGATGCAGTCTGAATGGTGATGTTGGCGGAGGATCTCAGCAATAACATAATATTAAAAAATTGTGTAATTGCTTCACAGCTAAATGCTGCTGATAAGCGTAAGACGCATTACATCCAAACTCATTTATAAAAGACAGTACCCATTTAACCATAACATAATCAATCCTATGACAAGATAGTAACAGCAGAACTCCAGAAATGTGCATTTTTCACTGAATCTAAATGTTATCTATTGCAGTATAAAAATAGGCTATGGGGGGAAAACTTTTTCAGAAGGTTAAAGCACTTTAATAAAGAATGCTAAAAAGATTGACACATTTTATATGACAGCCTGTGTTTGCCAAGAATAAAAGGGCTTTAATGTAAATTTGACAGTTTGTTTCTATAATAGCTTTATGCAATATACTAAAGTATAAGGTATTTATAATATTTAATAGCAACATAAAATGACTCCTTGACTCACAAGGAAATATTATTCATTAAGCTGTCATGTTTTGCCGTTTTATTTCAATCACCAGTTAATTGTTGAAGATGCTTTCATACATGAAATAAGGGATCACCAAATAAGTTAGTGCAGAACTTGTTTAATAAATTAGCAAACTATAAAATGTACTCTGTACTACTTTATCATTTTAGTATATTTAATATTTATTTAAACTATACAGATTGGTTTTTAGTTAAAGTTTAAAATAAATATACACAGTAAGTCCTTCAAGGGTTTTCTGTCAACCTACGTAGTGTACAAACAACAACTAATGAGAGATGTTTAGCAGTTTAAAAATGAAAATATTCAGGTATCAATTAATTTACATAGCATTTTAAATTTATCTTTCTGAGCTATTGAAGTGATTCTGCAAAGATCTTTTGGCTTTTGTTGAGTTAATCTTATAGCAAATTAATTCAGAGGAATTCTAATCTTCATTACAATATTAAAAACTGATACATATCGTGTTTGCCCACTGTAATTATCGTTTTGATGAAAACTATCCATAACCACATACAGTGTATTCTGTTGTTTCTTTGTTCTTAATAGTTTAAGGTTTTTACACAGGTGACCTACTGCTACAATTGTAGTTTCATACTCCCAACTGAGAGCCAATTCAGTCACTCCAGCTTTAATATTTGAATGAATAAATTGAATGAGTTTAGAGAGCCCCTCTTTGCCCAGCAAAAACATGGTTCATTTTCAGTCAGGCACTGAATGGAGACAAAGCATTTGAATTCAGTGAGAATTCACTTGGAGCTTCTCACTTCACTTTAACATTCACCGGTTGCCCAATTTTGATGGTGCTCTGCTCACCTGGAGCCAATGTACAAAGCCAAGCGCCATTGTCAGGAAGAACATTCATGGGAAGGATTAAAGAAAGACACCTATTCAGTTGGTGCAGCTAACTGTCTGAGATGCTTGATGCCACTTACCCATCCATACTAACATTTGGTTTAGGTCCATCACAGTTCAGTTCCAACTTCACATTTGTCACCGGCTTGATCTGCTTCGGATGTCAAGATAATGCATCATCAGTAAAAGGGACGCATTCCGTTAAGTTGTTGCACCAGTCCAAGTGTGATGTTAATGACGAGTAGCCTTTCCATCAACACAGTGAGTGTTATCACCTGTAGTGCAGCTCAGAATAAAGCCAGTGTGACCCACATACGTCGGAATTAATATTGAAACATTATACTAGCTGTACACGACTGCCACGCACAAGTTCAACAACAATAACAAAATTAAATTTATAGAGCGCCTTTCACATCGAGAAGACGTCACAAAGCGCTGAACAGTCAGGTGTCGGGGCCTGAGCATGGGGGCCTGAGCATGGGGGAGGGGTGGTGTAGGGGTGAGGGACGGCAGAGAGGTGGGAGGGAGAGCAAAGGCACGGTCGAAGAGAAGGGTCTTGAGACCGTCCTGGAAGGAGGTGAGGGAGGAAGTGAGGCAAAGGGACCATGGGATGGGGTTCCAGAGTGTGGGGCCAGAGAGACTGAAAGCTCGGCCACCGATGGTAGGGCGGGTCGGGCGGGAGACATGGAGCAGGCCGGAGTCCAATGGACAGAGGGAGCAGGCAGCTTGGTAGTGAGTCAGCAGGTCAGAGAGGTAGTAGGGGGCAAGGCCATGGATGGCCTTAAAGGTGAGGATGGGAAGCTTGAACTCGATCCTCTGGGGGATGGGGAGCTAGTGGAGTCGGGCGAGGGTGGGAGTGATGGGGTCACGACTTGCATTTATACAGCACCCCTCAACCAGAGTAGCATCCCAGAGCACTTGACAGTGGCGGAGCATGATGCCGAGCTGTGGAGAGGGAGAGGTGACCGTAGGCAATGTTGACTAGGAAGGTCTTAAGGCGCAATCTGAAGATGGCAAAGGAAGGGCCAAGGCGGAGGGATAGAGGAAGAGTGTTGCAGAGTTTCTGGATGTAGTGGCTGAAAGTGCGACCATCAATGGTGGAACGGAGGATACGGGGTACGTACAGAAGGCTGGAGCCGGTCGAGCAGAGGCAGCAGGTAGTGGGTTTGGCGAGGTTGGAGGTTGGAGAGGTACGGAGGTGCCAGAGCATAAAGTGATTTGAAACAAATCTGAGGATCTTGAAATCAACCTGTTCAGTGATGGCGAGCTAGTGGAGCTTGGCTAGAACTGGTGTGATGGGGGTATGGAGTTTAGTGCGGGTGAGTTTGCATAGGCGGAGTTTTGGATCAGTTGGATCCTGTGCGTGGTGGAGCTGGGGAGCCAGGCAAAGGGCATTTGAGAAGTAACTGGTAACCTATACCCAGCCACCTGTTGCAATCTGGTTGGTTCAGACAGTTAAGAGGGAAGTAAATAAAACCTGCTCTGTACTAATTAATAGGTTTCACAAGAAGTTTTAGCTTTGGTGGTTTATCAATCACTAAGCTAGTTGGCTGGAATAGCAATTGTGATTTTTGTTCTGAAAAGTGGCTTTTATTCATTTTCTTACAACAAATGATGGTAAACAGCTTTATTTTACAATCAACAGGCACCCACAGAAAATAAATATACTATTTTAAGTCAAGGACACTGACGAGTTACATCACCATACAGCGTGCAGGCAGGAAATACAACAGGAATTTATTCAATTGTGAAAAATTTACAAAATGGGGTGGAACAGCAACAGCCACCTGGGATTCACTTACAAAATAACTGCGGGTTCAGCAACTGTGATAAACAAGACATCAGCATGGCGGGGGCGGGCGGGGGGGGGGTCAGTGTCGGGGGACGGGCAGCCAGATCCTTCATTGTAAGACTTTGCCAATACCAGTGATCACATGAAAGCCTGAAACTGGGGTGTGGCGTGATGGTGGTGGTGAGGGGCTGGTGTGGTGTGAGAGCATGGTGGTGGGTGGGAGGATGGGGCTGGTAGTAAAGAAGTTCAGTTCTAAAGTTAGAAACAACACAAATGTCTGAGCACTACATTTATATCATATGTACAATGCATCTCCTCACCAATAGACAGAAGGTCAGGAATTACAAAGTTGCTGCTTATTGAGGTACGTGTTTTTATATACGATAGTTTTGTTCAGGAGACAAACAGCGAGAAATGGAAAAGGCGAAGAAAAGTACAGCATTCCATGGAACATTCTAATGGCAGATGAGTCTTACGTTAATTACAGTTCAAAAACAAGATGAGGCCGGTGTAAAAACAATAGACAAGCTGTTTTAAAATCTGTTTCAGCCGCGCTGATGAACAGGTTTATGAGGCACTTTAGTTCCCGGAGTTGGAACAATGATTGTCATGTTTTCCTCTCTGTGCCCTGGAGCATTGGGCTGGCCTACATCGATTCAAGTTATTTTTTTTTAAAAATCAGTGACATCTTAGCTCCGACTTCATGATTTTTTGGGATGAGAGGATTTTCCAGCTGCGACGGCTCCCTGGCAGGCCGAAGTGTCACAGATTCCTGGGGATCCCATCGCTCCCTGTGATCCTGCTTTGCCTGGCTCTCCGGGAAGGCCTGGGTCTCCCAAAGCCCCATCGCGACCATTCTTGCTGATCCCCATCATTCCTGTGGGACCTACAGGAAGGAATGCAAGAGGAAAACTTACTGTGGGCTTTGGGGAGAGGGATCTTGTGATGGGCTGCAGGTTCCTGTTAGTGACGCTGAGTTTTTTTATGAGCTGGGCTAATAGAAAAGTGCAGAAATATTTGCCCAGAATAGTGGGGCATCTGGCAAATCCTGCGGAAAATTGCAGCAGTGCTATTGAGAGACGCACTTTGCGAAACAACCCAGATTAAAGTTGTCGGTATATATTTCCTGAATATGTAGTTATGTTTAAAATACTAAAATGTTAATGTGAACTGTGCAGTACTTATCAAGAATTGATCGCAGGAGCTCAGTTATGCCACGGGCACCAAGCGAAGCCAATTCCCCATGCGCGCTGCTTCCACAATCCCAACACTCCCAGCCATCCCAACACTCCCCACGGAGGTCTGGGGCCGAGCGCACAGTATGCACAGGTGTGCAGCGGGGCCTAGCACACTGTGTGTACTGGTGTTTCGGAGGTCTAGCACACTACAAGTGTGTAGCAGGATCTAGCACACTGTGTACAGGTGTGTAGTGGGGTCTAGCACACTGTGTGTACAGGTGTGTAGTGGGGCCCAGGTTATGAATTACTGATTCCAGTTACGAACTTAGTCTCCGAGGCAGGGACAGAACAACCGTGACTGACTTCAGCATTCAACACACTGCAGGTCACAGTATCAGTATACAGCACAACACAGAATTACATTTGTATAGTGCTTTTCACATCGGGAGGATTTCTCTAACATGTCGGCGGCTGGAGCAGGGCAGAGTTTTGCTCCTCTAGTTTTGAAGGTTGTTTCCTGCCTGGTTCAAATACATTATTTCTGAACATACCTGTAGGTCCTTGAGGCCCAACTAAGCCGTTGATGGCTTTGCCGATCCTGCCCCTGTCTCCTTTTTCACCAATGTCACCTGAGATTCCAAAGAGCGATACAGTAAAATTACTGAGTGAGCAGCTGGGTGACAGCCGAGCTCATTTAGTAACACTTTCACTTTTTATGTCAGAAGGTTGTGTGTTCAAACCCCACATCTCTCACTTTGAGTTCATAGATTCACAGGTTGACACTCCAATTCAATGCTGGGGACGGGACGCTGCATTGTCAGAGGTAACCAAAGGCAAAGAGATAGAACTTTACTGTCAGGCTGAGTGTACACTGGTGCGTAACAACAACAACTTGGATTTATATAACGCCCTCCACGCTGGACAGAGCTTCACAGTAACGGATCCCGGGACCGAGCCAGGGGGAGCGGTGAGAAGGTGACCAAAGGTGCGGTCGAAAAGAAAGGTCTTCAGCAGAAACCTGAAAATAGAAAGGGAGGGAACGAGGCGAAGGGAGTGAGGAAGGGAGTTCCAGAGACTCGGGGCATAGTGGCTGAAGTGCACTGTTACCCGCGCTCAACATCATAATAATAATCCTTATAATAATAATCATCTTTGGATTTGGTATATCTTATCATGTCTTTGAGACTTCACAGAATATACTGTAAAGTGAATTGACTATATTTTGTGGGCAAAACACAGCAGCCAAATGCACACAGCAGTGTCCCACAAACAGTCATGGATTGAGTGAAGAAATTATTCTTTTTTTTGAAGGAATTATTATCCCCAGAAAAGCAATCCATCAATCGACTAACAACCGGGTTCATACTTACTACTGGTAATCAGAGGTGTGTGGAGTAAAGAAACTTGCTCAATGTTCGCCCTGCCCGGGAATTGAACCCAAGTGTCTCGCTTGTGAGGCGAGGGCTCTAACCACTGAGCCGCAAGACTCCACATCACAAGCCCTGTGTAACCTGCACTGTACACACGTTCAACAGGAAGAATTTGAGCTTTTGGATTGGTTCTTACCGCGAGCGCCCGTATCACCCAGCTCTCCGGAGGGTCCGTACAGTCCCGGGGGGCCGCGCTTGCCCGGGTGCCCAGCGTTACCTTTAGTGCCAGGCACACCCGAGGGTCCTGGAGGCCCACGCCGGCCAGTCATGCCCGGAGACAGCGGCCGCCGGAGGTTATTGGCCAATAAGGTCATTTGATCTGATAAAGGAAACAAAATGACTGATTTCCACTGCCAGCAATCCCAATAATACCAGGAATGTCAGTCCATTCTGAGCTCTATTCCTTGCATGACACAACCGGTGTGGTGTAGAACTATTACCGAAAAGATCACGGATTCGCTGCCAATAAAACACTAACCTGGGATACACAGAGATCCACGTTACACATCGCACTGCCCTCTCCATGTGTGTAAAGTAACCACATTCTCTTACAGTTTATGTCCAAACTTTCATTTCTTAATCTCAGTGATTGACAGGAAAAACACCATCTGTTGCATTGTAAGTCTGAACTCACCGTTAATCAGGTCGCGACAAAGCTCCCTAATCCGCTGCTCACTCGCTAGTTTACCCTGAAGAGAGAGCGATATGATATCAGTTTTAAATTTCTGTCCCCAGTTTCCTCATTACCCTCAGTAACGCTTTGCCACAAAGAGATTTCAACACAACGATGGACGTCACAGCCACACGTGGAACAGCCACACTCAGAGACATCACTCAACAGGTCACAATTATTGCAACTATAATCATGTCCCAGACCTGCAACTTCACCATCATCCACACGGCATACAGCAGATATTGTGCAGACAACACAACATACACACACAGGCAATCACACACACACACACACACACACACACACACACAGGCAATCACACACACACACACACAGGCAATCACACACACACACACACACAGGCAATCACACACACACACACAGGCAATCACACACACACACACACACAGGCAATCACACACACACACACAGGCAATCACACACACACAGGCAATCACACACACACACCCACAGGCAATCACACCCACAGGCAATCACACCCACAGGCAATCACACACACAGGCAATCATACACACACAGGCAATCACACACACACACAAAGGCAATCACACACACACAGGCAATCACACAAACACACACACAGGCAATCACACACACAGGCAATCACACACACACAGGCAATCACACACACACGCAATCACACACACAGGCACACACACACACAGGCAATCACACACACAGGCAATCACACACACACAGGCAATCACACACACACACACACAGGCAATCACACCCACAGGCAATCACACACACAGGCAATCACACACACACACTGGCAATCACACACACACACACAGGCAATCACACACACAGGCAATCACACACACACAGGCAATCACACACACACACACAGGCAATCAGACACACACACCCACAGGCAATCACACACACAGGCAATCTCACACACACACAGGCAATCACACACAGGCAATCACACACACACAGGCAATCACACACACACACAGGCAATCACACACACACAGGCAATCACACACACACACACAGGCAATCACACACACACAGGCAATCACACACACACACAGGCAATCACACACACACACAGGCAATCACACACACACACAGGCAATCACACACACACAGGCAATCACACACACACACAGGCAATCACACACACACACACAGGCAATCACACACACACACACAGGCAATCACACACACACACACAGGCAATCACACACACACAGGCAATCACACACACAGGCAATCACACACACAACAGGCAATCACACACACAGGCAATCACACACACACACAGGCAATCACACACACACAGGCAATCACACACACACAGGCAATCACACACACAGGCAATCACACACACAGGCAATCACACACACAGGCAATCACACACACAGGCAATCACACACACACAGGCAATCACACACACACACAGGCAATCACACACACACACAGGCAATCACACACACACACCCACAGGCAATCACACCCACAGGCAATCACACGCACAGGCAATCACACACACAGGCAATCATACACACACACCCACAGGCAATCACACCCACAGGCAATCACACACACACACAGGCAATCACACACACAGGCAATCACACACACACAGGCAATCACACACACACAGGCAATCACACACACACACACAGGCAATCACACCCACACACAGGCAATCACACACACACACACACACACAGGCAATCACACACACACACCCACAGGCAATCACACACACAGGCAATCACACACACAGGCAATCTCACACACACACACAGGCAATCACACACACACACAGGCAATCACACACACACAGGCAATCACACACACACACAGGCAATCACACACACACAGGCAATCACACACACACACACAGGCAATCACACACACACAGGCAATCACACACACACACACAGGCAATCACACACACACAGGCAATCACACACACACACACACAGGCAATCACACAACACACACAGGCAATCACACACACACACAGGCAATCACACACACACCAGGCAATTCACACACACACAGCACCCACACAGCAATCACACACCACAGGCAATCACACACCCACAGGCAATCACACACACACCACACACAGGCAATCACACACACAACAGGCAATCACACACACACAGGCATTCACACACAGGCAATCACACACACAGGCATCACCACACACA